CAGAAAAATCATGCCGGCTCTTCTGGAAAAATGGAGGTTGACGGCATGAAGAGGATTTTCCAAAGATCTGAAGAAAAATATGACGTCAAGTATGAAACATACATTGGCGATGGTGATTGTAAAACTTTCCAGGCTATTTGTGAGGCAAAGCCATATGGAAAAGATGTTTCGATAACCAAAGTGGAGTGTGTGGGACACATACAGAAGAGAATGGGCACTCGTTTGCGAAAACTCAAAACTTCATATGGCAAAAAAAGGCTTTCAGATGGTAAGACGATAGGTGGTCGGGGAAGACTGACAGACGTAACAATAAATAGAATTACAAGTTATTATGGCAATGCAATTCGCCAAAACAGCAATAACTCAGTCAACATGCGAACAGCGATTTGGGCCATATGGGCTCATACTTGCAGCACGGATAAAGAGCCGATGCACTGGTTTTGTCCGAAAGGCGAAAATAGTTGGTGCAGCTATAATAAAGCTGTGCATAACAACAAAGTGCATGAGTATAAGCACCCAATGCTGGTTGCTAAAGTTGTTATGGAGGCAATAAAGCCAATATTTAAGGATCTGTCTCATCCGTCTCTTTTGAAAAGATGTTTGGGGGGTAAGACCCAAAACCCAAATGAGTCGTTGAACTCACTCATATGGAAGTTTTGCCCTAAATTTGCTAGTGCTGGCAAAAATGTTGCCGAAATAGCTGCATGTATGGGTGTTTGTGTTTTTAACGATGGAAAAAAGTCTTTGATGTCTATTATGAAACTGTTGGAGCTACAAATCAACAAAAAAGCAAAGCAAAACTTTCATGCTCAAGATAAACTCCGCGTAACAAAAGCTGAAAAGCGAGCTAGTGAACAGTCTATTGTAGCTCGTAGAGTGAAACGACAAAAAAAGATTTGTGAAAATGAGAGAATGAAAAAAAGTGAAGGGGGGGATATGTATATTTCTGGTGGCTTTTAATTTTTAAATGTTTTTTTTTATATTGATTTTATTATAAAATAATAAAATGTAAGAAATTTATTCCTTTATATCTATGTCTTTGAGGTTACTTAGGATTTCTAGATAAACATAAAAATGGATATTGTTATAATAATCAAAATTTTAACTTTGTGGTCATTTTTATAAACAATTTTTTAAAAGTTACTAATTTGAAAATCTTTTGTTTGCTTTTGAAAATTTATTTTAAAACATCATCTTTTAGATTTTTATAAATCTCAAAAATCTATCATTTAGGTTGGTTTGGTTTTTGTATCAATCATTTCTAATGTTTGAAAAGTTGATTACTATTTGACTCGATGCTCGTTATGTGACAAGTCGTTGTGAAATGTTACTTTATTTTGTTTATAAGTCAAATTTAGTTAATGTATTACTGTTTAAGTTGTATGTAGGTATTGTAAAATGATTTATTTTATTTATTTAGGCATTTTTAGAAAAATATATTGAGTGGTATTCGAAAAAAACAAATTTTTAACTTTAAAGTCATTTTTCTCAAAATGTGATATGTTGAACTTGTGCGCACTGCGTACAAAGAACTAATTGATAGAATTGTACGAAACTTTAGGAAAAGTTTTATGATATGGTTTGCTACAACTGGTACCTACTATAAAAACCATTACTCTCTTAAAATTTTTTTAAATAATTGTGTAATGTGCCAAAAATATAGAAATTTGAAAAACTTAAACTTTTTTAATTTTTAGAAAATTAAAATATATGTATATCAAAATAATATTAGGTAACACAGGTTTAGGGTAATTATAACTTTAATTTAAAATTAGTTTGACATTATTTTGATGATATTTGACTCGTACGCTTTGCGCGCAATGAAACTCACTTTTTCGAAAATAAAAAAATTTCACTATATTAAAAAAAGTCTGTATTTTTTTTATGAATGATTTTTTTTGAATTTAGCTATTTAATTATATTGATAATAGTGCTAGTAAATGATAAAAAAAAATTCATAGCTTTAGGATAAATTCAAAGATAGTTACAGTGTGTCGAAAATATGGTATTTCATTGTATCGTTTAAGGCGTTAAAGGGTCCTGACCCCCCTTAAGCTTCTTTTAAAAGGTGAAAGCTTCTTCTTTTGATTTTTATTTAAAGGAATGTTACCTTTTAACAAATTAAGTACACATTCACATATATGTTTGATAGATTTAGCTGCACAGTGTTTTAAAAATTTTTGCTTCGATTTTGATTTAGCCACAGCTTTTAAGAACCCGAGACAACAGTGTTTACTGCCCGACATTCTAATCGTATTTGATTATTTTATTCTTTCATCATCATCATAGTTGGCCAGACAGCCCAATGTGAGCCAATACCTTCCTCTGAAGATTTCTCCACGACGACTTCGATTTATCTTTGATCTCCAATTTTTTCATTAATTACGAGAAAATCAGACTCCACTGAGTCAGCCCATCTCAACCGCGGCCTTCCCCGCTTTCTTTTTCCAGTGGGTCTAAAAAGCAGTATCTTTTTTATTGTTTTGTCGTCGTTCATTTGAATCACGTGGGCGATCCAATTCATTATATTTATTTTTATGTATTTAATAATATCAGGTTGTTTAAAATCTTGTACAGTTCAAAGTTACATACCCTTCTCCAGTTATTGTTTTCATTTACACCACCAAGTGTAAATGAAAACTATAATTTTATTCTTTACGAGATTTAATTTATACCAATTTCCAAATGATTGAACTTTAATGAAGGCAAAGTGATTTATGTTAAACTAATGAATAACTCGGTATATTGTAAGACTTTGGAAAACGTTTGTAACCATATAGATTGATTGAATGTAGAGTTTAATGGCACAAGATCCAAATGTGGACATGCTGCGCCAAACAATATGTTTATACGTGTCAAAATTTAAGTGCATACATATTTTCCATAAATCATTGTAACTATATAGATGTCCAGCTAGTTAATACAGAGCGAAGGGCTAAAAAGTTAGTTGCATCATCATTCTCTAAACGTTTTAAGGTATCCGACTACCTTGAAAAAGGGGTATTTGGTCAAAAAATCATGTTTTCATTTTATTGTCTAATAATAATGCCCAACTCTTCTAGTTTCTAAAAATGTTTTGCTTTTGAATGTGCGTCAAATANATGTACAAATTCCATTATAATACTATCAAACAGACATATGGTGAGAGAGCAAGACTTCTTTTTACGGACTCTCTCACTTACGACATTAGAACTTTAGATTTAGGTGTCCATAAGCAGTTATTTGATTTTTCAGAGTATCCTCCTGACCATGAATTATATCCCATAGATAATAAAAAGAAAATAGGCTCTTTTCAGAACAAGCTTAATTCAAAACCCATTTTTTAGTTTATTGGGCTTCGCTCTAAAATGTATTCCATTCGGACGGAAGATCTTGAAAAGAAAACTGCCAAGGGGAATTCAAGATCTATCGTCAGAAACCACATAACTTTTAATGATTATAGAAATTTTTTGATTTCATTTACACCCTCTTATCACACCATGAATAGAATCGAGTGTAAAGACCATAATTTATTTACCATCCAGCAAAGCAAAAAATCATTAAGTGCTTTTTTGATGATAAACGTTATCTATTAGATGATGATATTGCCCCGTATGCTTATGGCTTCGGTATATGGCAAGACTATGGAAAATGTTCGTAACCATATAGATGTTCAGCTAGTTAATACAGAGCGAAGGGCTAAAAAGTTAGTTGCATCATCATTCTCTAAACGTTTTAAAATATTCAATCATGATCTCACGGGTGTTGAGAGGAGGAAAGTTCAAGTACGCTCCATCGTCCTATGTATATTTGTTTTGTTATATTGGAATTGAGTAAGGTACATATGTACAAATTCCATTATAATACTATCAAACAGACATATGGTGAGGACACGGACTTCATTGTGTGCATGCTTCAATCAGGATGTTTTACTCCCTTTGAAAAATGTGACAATGGCATCACTTCGTCAAAAAACTCCAGAAACCAGTAGTGATCTTTGTTCTCTTGGATATAATGTAGTTGAGATGTGGGAACACGAGTTTCTCAAGATGTAGAAGGAGAATGATGATTTGCAGCAATTCCTGAAACACCATAAATTGCAAGACCGTTTAAGACCCCGGGATGCCTTTTTTGGAGGGAGAACAAACGCTGTCAAATTATACCACGAAGGAAACTCCAATTATGTGAACTTTACATCGCTGTATCCTTGGGTAAAAAAAAAAAATTGTATTTTGTTGTTTTACTGATTTCAGAATTTTTTTTTTGTATAAATATTAAGTATAAATATCTTTAAAATGCTTTTTTGTAATCATTTTCTTTTTCTAGGTGAACAAATATTATACATATCCAGTGGGTCATCCTCAAATCATCACTAAGAATTTCAAAACTATTGACAATTATTTCGGGATCGCTAAGTGCACTGTCATACCACCAAGAGGCCTGTATTTTCCTGTACTGCAATACAGAAGTAAAAAAAAATAAGCTTATGTTTCCCTTGTGCAGAATCTGTGTGGAAACAACACAGCAAGGAAAATGTTTACCGGTACATGGGTGACCGAAGAAATAAAATTGGCAGTTGAAAAAGGATACATCCTAAAAGAAGTAAATAGTTCTTCTCGTTTATAATATTCAACTTTTCTTAGAGTTCATTGTCCATTATTACTATTTTTAAAGTTATTTGACTAGATATTTTTTATTATAATATATACAATCATTCTTTTTTAAACAGATCTCCGAAGTTTATCACTTCGACGAAACATCTGATTCGTCGATCACTGTTTCGTGATTCTATTGATTTATTCTTAAAAATCAAGCAGGAAGCAAGGGGGTGGCCTTCAAATTGCGTTACAGAAGAAGATAAAATGAGGTATATAGAAGAGTATTTTGAAAACGAAGGAGTATCTTTGGAATATTCTAAAATCTTAAAATTTGGGAAGAAGGCAGGTGGCAAAATTGCTATTGAACAGTTTTTGGGGACGGTATGAAAAAAATTAAATCCCTTTCAATATTTAAATGAAACGAAATTTATTAATTATTATCATTGTCGCTTTTTTTCAGATGGGGTATGAACTGCAATAAAGCTCGCCTAACATACGTAAACACTGTCCCGGAATGTAATAAAATGTTTGCTGATCCCACAAAAAATGTATGTGAATTTTTATTGTACACTTTTTTTTAAATATTTTTTTCAGTGTTATTGTACTTATAACATATTTTACTTTTTAGATTAAAGATATGTTTTTACCGAATGATGAGATAGCATGCATTCATTGGGTATCACAAAATCAATTTGTGGCCCAGGATTCTACCACCAACATCTTTATTGCGGCGTTCACAACAACCTGGGCTAGATTGAAACTTAACCAAGTAATGGATAAATTGGGAGAGAATGTCTTATACCACGACACAGACTCCATAATTTACGCCCAAGACAGAAACAATAATCACCCTCTTGGGAATTTTCTAGGAGAGTTCACGGACGAGCTGGACGGGGATACCATTACGACATTTATATTTGGTAAGCTTTTCTCCCTTTTTTTTTCCACCTCTGAATTTCACAAATGTATGTTATTTTATCAAAAATTAACATTTGTTATTTTGGGTGGACCGAAAAATTGTGCCTACGATTCTGCTTCTGGAAAAACATGTTGTAAAGCTCTAGGTTTTACATTAAATTTCAAAACTTCTGAAAAATTGAATTTCGAATCCATTAAGAAGATGGTTTGCAAAACTCAGCAGTGACCCCATTGCTCTGCAGAATCCAGCGAAAATCTGCGATGCGAAAAAGAGATCAACAAGCCCGAGACAAAGCTGTATAGGATCGTCTACGATAAGAGAATGATTCAACCAGACCTGACGACGCTCCCTTATGGTTATTGCTGATTTAACAACAACAGTGTTTTGTGGGTTAACCTAACGGTATGCTTTTGGCATCATGAGTCCACCAAAGAGAGGATTAGGGCTCCTGGCCTCTTTAAAAAAAGCGCATCTTATCCCTTACCTCACTCGGGTGATGAGAAAAAAGGGTTCTTTAGTGTTTGTTTGAAATGTGTATGTGTGTCCGTGCGTAAATAAAAATGAGAGAAAAAAACATTATTTAAAAAAATCATTTATTGAAAAATAATAATACTTATAACATATTTTCCTTTTTAGTTTAAAGATCTGTTTTTACTGAATGATGGATTAGCATGCATTCATTGGTAATCACAGAAACAATTTGTGGCCCAGGATTCTACCAGCAACATCTTTATTGTGGCGTTCACAACAGCCTGGGCTAGATTGAAACTTTACCAAGAAATGGATAAATTGGGAGAGAATGTCTTATACCACGACACAGACTCCATAATTTACGCCCAAGACGGAAACAATGATTCCTCTCTTGGGAATTTTCTAGGAGAGTTCACGGACGAGCTAGACGGGGATACCATTACGACATTTATATCTGGTAAGCACTTCTCTCCTTTTTTTTTTTTCACCACTGAATTTCACAAATGTATGTTATTTTATCAAAAATTAACATTTGTTATCTTGGGTGGACCAAAAAATTATGCCTACGATTCTGCTTCTGAAAAAAACATGTTGTAAAGTTCGTGGTTATACATTAAATTTCAAAAATTCTGAAAAATTGAGCGAATTTTGAAAAACGAAGCATTTTTTTTTCTTTAAAATTAAAATGCGAGGGAACATTGAAAATAGTTTAAATTTCTACACGAGGTTTTCGATCCTAACAATCTCGTTATCTGAATGAATAGTTTTAATATATTAATAATTAATTACTTTTAACTAATTAAGATTGTTTAAATTTATAATTACTTCTTTTTTTTAATTTAATAATTATGAATAGTAATTTACTTGGCTGCCACGCAAAAAATTTTTTTTGTCTGAGTCTTAAGCTAAAATGAATCGAAGACGTCAACGATCACCTGAAAGTATGGAAGTACGAAAAAATAATATCCGCCTAAATAACTCAGATTTCATAAATTTATTACCTGAATATCTCGGTGATAGTGACGAATTAACTGCCAGGGAATTTCTAAATAAATTGAATCTAATAGCTCTCTTAAGTCAGTGGTCAGACCAGGAAAATTTAATTACAGCTAAATTAAAGTTAAAAGATTCAACCGCTAATCATTTAGAAATAGATAGAGAACTTAGTAACACAAATAATTTCGAAATATTTAGCAATCTTATGATCCATAGGTTTCAGAAAAATATACCATTAGCTACAAATGAACAACATTTCGCACTATGTAAACAAGAAGATTCGGAATCCGTTCAAAACTATGCAGCTAGAATAAGAAAATTAGCGATCGGTATTTTGTCTCCGATCGAACACTCGCGTGAAGTTCTCGGTGAGCATGATAGAATGATTCAAGCTCGCTTCACAAACGGTTTAAAAGAAAGTATTCAACGAGCGGTGTTGTCAAAAGGGTCGAGAAATTTTTCACAAGCCGTTGAAATAGCTTAGACAGAGGATCTTGACGATTCGATGGTAGCACAATCGCAAATTAGCAACAAAGTAGATAAGACGGTAATTCAAGGATCCGTTATTAATCTTTTGGTCGGTCAAATATAGATAACGATTAGCTGAACAGGCTCCTGTTGAACATAGGGTTCACAGCTATCAAACTGATCGAAGAAACTACCGATATTCTAATGATAGATCAAGAATGCAATGCTTTAATTGCAAAAATTATGGTCACATAAAAAGAAATTGCCCCATGTTATTTCGAACTCAAACTCAGATAAAAGACCTAAGGGGACAGAGAAACGAAAGGGGGGCTTCTCAACAAGAGCACGAGGGTGGAACGGGAGACCCCGGAGAAATAAAAATGATAGAATACCCTAACCTTTGATTAAACTTCGCTGTGGTGATTAAGAATTTTTTTCTTTAATTGACTCTGGGGCAAGTATTTCTATAATGTCACCTCAAATTTTCGATAAAACGCAGGTAAACCTTATTATCTATATAAGTTTCGATATGCAATCGTTCATTAACGTTTATAACGTGCTTTATCTATCACACGATATCGCGTGATGAAATTCCTTTAGTTTGTGTCAATAAAATAGATCAAGTGGTAGCAAGATGCATATTATCAGCCAACTATTTTTTCAGAAAGTATGCTTTCTGATAACAATAACAGGTTGCTCATTAAAATAAGCTTATTGTAAAATTAAAAAAAAAAAATTAACTTTGATTTTACTTGCTTAGATTATCATTCAATGATCAATATATAGTTTAACCAGTTGTTTACAGAAGGCAATGAACATGTTAAAAGATATTTATTTTTCCTTTTTTATTACTGATTAAAATCGGTCAATAATATTGTGACATTAAGTCACAAGCTTAAGTTAATTTCGGCACAATTTCGTTAATTCCTGTTACAAAACCTTATTTCCTGATATAATTCCTCTCGCCCCTTAATCTTAGTGCAATGGGGACTTTCTCCCCCTGACTCTCCGTTTCACATTCCTTTAACCCCCTTTTCTTAGAAAAAAAGACACCTGTTTGCCGGTACCTTTGATGTCAGCGTGCCTTACTAGATCGGAGATGTGTTTCTTAACCGTAACGTTCGAAAATTAATTGTCAGTACATCTCAACTTTCTAAAAATAAAGAATTTAACTTTAACTTTAAGCAAGAAGATAAAAGGAAGAGCGCGAAAGGCGATCGAGAGATTCGATATTTTGATGGTCAAACAATCTGCAGCACTCCGCTTAACGGAGTTTTGATATTTTCTTTTTGCTCCCACCTCCCTGAGGTGGAGAACTTTTCTTGGAAGAATGGCTTCCTTGCGCCATCTCTTTTTATGTTCCCTATGACCAGCTCATGTGCTGCCATGCCATGACGTGGTCACGAAGTTGTTTATGCTTAATCATGCAGCTCCTTTTTAATGTGAAAGAAAAAATTGCACTAAATTAAAATTTTGACCTTAGATCACCAAAAAAAAAATCTTCAAAAATAAACATGAACGTTATCGTCGACTTTTTGAAAATGTTTATCTTGGTATGGAAAGCCGAGAAGAATCCGAAGTTCTGGGAAATGCTCCAACCGATGTTATTGCTGAAAGAACTTGGTTTCCAGTAACTACTCAGTTCCCACTAAATGCTGGGATAAAATGATCCATCGCCAACCAACAGTCGTCTGAATCTCATCTAAAAATTTCCTTTTCACTGAATTTCCTGCCCTTCACCCACTACTCCACCATTGGACACTATTTTCCTGTCTCTCAACATGGATCCACCTAATAAAAAGAACTATTGGTTTTCTAAAGTGACTATCTTTTTTTGAGTGATTTATTCATCTAGATTTTCTAGAAGATAACTTCAGGTAAATACTTGTTTTTTTTCTGTTTCTCTTTTAGATGGTTATATGGGTTATTCGGACACTATGCGAAATTGTATTAATTGTCTTTTTATAATTCGGCCATATTTCTTCAAAGTTCAGTTGTTATTTTTATATAAGTTACTTTTTCATTTTTATACCCAACCGTAACAGGGCAAATATATTGTCTTATTCTCATTTTTAGTAATGCGGAGAGCATCTTAAGGTGAAGCATTTTCTGACCCAATGTTTTTTAAAATTCAAAAGACTATAGTATTTTAACTGTGACTTCCCGAGTTTAGCAATTTTACCTGGAGACACACCTCGTCTTAACTTAATACCTTACCTCAAAGACATCGCGTTTTATAATTTGATTTAGTTCAAATTTTAATAAATTGACTAGCATTTACCTAGTTATATTGATTTTAAAAAAAAAAATTATATTGTTTTTAATTTTAACAAAGTTTCTTAAAACTCAACCTTGTGTTTGAAATTTAGTCTCTAGTTTAAAATTTATATAAAGTTTTAGGCGTGGTATAGCCAAATCATGGCTCTTGCGCTAAAAATTTACATCACTTACTTGTATTTAAAAGCTGCATTTATTTAGACATGCAAAAGCAGAAGAATTATTAGCAGCTTTCTATGATTTTGCTGTTAAGTTAAAGCTGACAAAAATATTGCAGCTATCCATGGATGAACCCAATGTCAATTGGAAATTCTTTGGAAGTCTTCAAACTGATTTGAAGCATTAATACAACTATCAAACCATTTGCATTAGTAGCTGTGGGCTACAAATATTAAACAATGCTTTCAAACATGGTGAAAATTCTGCTAGCTGGAATATTTTTAGAATTTTGACAAGTCTGTACTGGCTGTTTAAAAACAGTCCGGCTCATTCAGAAGGTCTTATTAATTTTTCCTCTAATCCTGAGTTTCCAGTCAAATTTTGAATTATAGATGGCTAGAAAATGTTCCTGCTGTCGAAAGAGCCATTGAAATTTCGCAATCTGTTACATCTTATTTTCACAATGGAAAGGAAAATATAAAACAAATAAGAACAAATCTTATTTCAATATTCTTGAGTCCCACAAAAGATCTTGAGTCAATAAAAAATTCATTAAATTTCATTTCCATCTGTCAGTTGTCAAAATTGTTCCACCTTTTCTGTAATTTTATCAGACTGATGCACCTTTAATACCATTTCTTGGTAATAATTTGGTAAAGCTAATTAAACATTGTGCAGAACATTTTCATGTCCTCAAATCCTAACACACAGAAAAAATATCATCTGCTTTACAGTTGTGTAAAGTAGATTTTAGTGACAAATATTTACTTAACTCTGTGGATAAAGTAAGTTTGGGTTTTACTGCAGACAAGTTTCTGAAAAAACTAGTGTTGAAAAAGGTCATCAGCAATAAA